CAGGGACAGGAGTCTTCGTGTCCAACCTTCGAATCTTGAGGAGGCAGTGATACTTTTGTTGAACGCCGAGTTTAATTTCAAAGAAGGTCGCTATGGTATGCATGGGTATAACTTGAATGCCTTGAATAAGTATGGACCTCATCCATACTTAAGATGAAGAAGCTGAGCTTCAAGCTGCAGAGTAGCAACGAAACATATGTTAATTCTGTATGTGCGGAAGCATGAAACACCTCCGCCCAAGTTGTCCATTTCAAAAGCAGCTTCAGAATCTCCAGGGCCGGAAACTCGAAAGGCGGGCATGGTGGGGGAGAACGCACACCCCCACTAGGGCTCCCGCGCCTACTGGGCATAAATAAAGTTTTTTAGAATTTCTAAGAGGTAGAGGTGAGCACGGCGTAGCCTTCGACGACTACGTGGAAGATTTTACGGAGCGTGAGTGCAAGTTAGACTTGTATCAGAAACCGTTAAGGGCTTGAAAATGGTATGTTTGATTTTAAATGACTCAAGGCGTCGAGCAACTATGTCCAACGCTGTTCTCTTGAAGGGAGTTATCAATATTCTGAGGCACAAAAGCACAAGAAGGGAATTTCACGGTCCTACTCGCAACCTGATACACGTACCACCATTTCCACAGCTCCTTAGAGATTAAGTGTGAGATTTTTTGGACTCCGATAGCATATTACGCTGTATTTTTCTGGACTTGGACTGAAGATATATTCTCATTTATAATATGTCTTGGTTGGAATGCACGAGCCAGCATCGATTGGAGGTACAAAACCTTAACTGCAGCGCGCATGTTCCTAATAAAGCTTTAAAGAGTCATTGACCATTGTGCGTAAACGCAAATTCCCTCGTTTTACGCGTACTTTCTGTGCCACGAAATTGGTTATGAATCAAGGGCTGTCGAACGATTTGACTACGTTGAACGTTTTGGTGACTTAATTGTTTCGACTCCATTGAGGCTATGCGCAGACTATTTCTTAAAATTTATGTCCATAGTCGTGCTGAACACGGACGGTCTGATACCGCAAACCATATCGTTCACTTGCGAGCAGCGCTCGATATGCATGCGCACTAATAAGCTATATGCTAATGCATCTAAGTTCATCTTCGGTTCCGAAGAGATTCCTTTTTAGGGTGCTTCATTGGGAAGCGAGGCCTCCGAGCGGATCCCGCTAAGCTCACAGACATTGTAGATCAACCTGTTCCACAATCTCAAAGGACTTGCGTAATTTAGTTGACCTTGCTAATTACTTGCATAAGTACAGCGAGAATTAAGCTGATATGGCTCGGCCATTATACAATTTTCTAAAAAAAGGATGTGGGATGGTGTTGGCATGCCAAACACGAGGACAATTTTCAAGCGGTGAAGGCTAGCCTTCGTCATGCTCCCATTTTGGCTTTGCCGGATCTTGACCGATCGTTTAGCGTCGTCTGTGGCGCGTTGGATCTTGCCATTGGCAGTGCTATGTTAAAAACAGATGCTGAGGTCGTGAGCGTGTGGTCGCTTTTGAATCTCGCTAGCTGAAAGCGGCAGAGAAAACTGCCCAGTTCATGACAAAGAGCTACTTGCAATGAAGTATGCTCTAGTCAAATTCAGAGTTCATCTACTTGGCTCGAAGCCTTTTGTGATCTATACTGATCATGCGTCTTTACACAATGCGACTCAGTCGCCTCATCTCTCGCAGAGAATGGCCAGATGGCTTTTATTCTTTGATAAATATAGCTTCGAGGTGAAGTATAAGCCGGCCCGCAAAACGCTTTGGCTGATGCGTTATCACGCAGACCTGACTATGAGCTGGATCATGTTACGAAATTGTCGTCGTCGATCACGAATCTGATTCGTGCTGGATACGCTAAGGTTGATCACTGTGTAGCTATGCTACGTGCCCTCGGCATTTCACAATTCGGACATAAGTCGTCGGCACGATCACGTGCGAGCCTTCTCCAATATTTTATCGATAAGGACTGTTTTACGGATTCATCGCGCATTGTGGTTCCTCATGATGATGATCTAATTTATCATATCCCCTATGAGGCGCACGGCACTGCCATTGGTGGTCATTTGGTTCGTGAAAAGACCTATGGTTCAGTATGCTAACGTTATTGTTGGCCCAAACTGTGCAAATGGGTGAGCACGTATGTGCGTACGTGTGAAACGTGTCAACGGGTTAAGCTGTCGCCCTATTCGGCGGTGCCTTTTACTAGTTTGCCTGTCCCCACTTCGGAGTCCATTAGTATATTTTTGTGCTTGGTCTACCGAAAGATTCGCATGGCAACACAGGTATAGTGATCTTTGCTGACCGTTTGAGCAAGATGGATCTTTTAGAGGCTGTGCCGGATTCTATTGATGGTAAAGGTACAGCACAGCTGTTTATTGATCAAGTGTCTCGCAAACATGGCTTTCCTGTTGCAATTGTTTCCGACCGTGACCCTCGCTTTACGAAATAAATTTTGGAGGTCCGACTTCCAGGTGCTAGGCACACGATTGGACATGTCCACAGTGGATCATCCGCAGACCAATGGTCAAACTGAACGCGCTGATCGCGTCGATGAGAATATCCTCCGCGGTTTTTGCGCTGATACGCATGGACGTTGTAGCTCTATGCTCCCTGTTGTTGAGTTTGCGCTAAACAAGTTCTGTGCACGCCTTTTATGGCTATAACTCCGTTATATGTGACCGGACTGACGCACCCGCGCGTTCCGTTGACGCTACTATTTCGTCAATCAGGGCTTGGTGAGGGAGAGGTTGCCGATCGGCTTGCTAACTTCATGTTCAAAGACACGTAAGCGCGTTTGTTACTGCGCTTTTGCGAGTCTTACATTATGTGCGTGATACAATGACTGATATCCAATATGAACAAAAGGATGCTAAAGGCAGAAGTTATAGTGGAAGCTATGAGGTCGGGTACTTAATCCTAAGAATCTACTTACCAATGTAGTGTCTGCTGTCTCTAAAAACAAAGCTGCGTTCACTTTTCATCAGTCGTGACCAAGAAGGGCCTAGCGTATACGCTGAATCTGCCGCGCAATTTTTGTACACATCCCGTGTTTATGTTGTCATGCTTAAGCCATATAGAAGGGACCCAAGGCCCTTGAATGTTGAGGCGTTTGCGCCGAGAAAGCCAAATTTGCCGCAGGATGTAACATTTGTAGTAGCACGTCCAGCTGTCCCTCTTACCTAGATTGCTTCTACTCCATACTGCAGCCGAGTCTGCACCGCGTCAAGCGTTCTCTAAGTCTGAACAAAAGTCTCACGAAGACACTTTACTTCGTTAACCAGCTCAGCGTGACCTGTCACCGATATATTGGCCTCAGGCGATGTTGCTCGAGCAAGGGAACCTTCACTTTCATGTGGAGAGACATCTACAGAAGCATCGTCACCATGGCCAATATCAGTATCTGCTAAAGTGGTGAGGGTATCCCGAGCCAGTGAACTCATGGGAGTTTAAGATGCCCTGCGGCAATCTTGTACGCCGTGGATTTTTTTGAACGCCGCGCTCAGAGTCATCTTGCGACCGATGGTGTTTCTTACTAGTATGGTGAAAGCGGGCAAGCCCGCGGCTACAGGGTAGCCGAAGCACTTAATGCTGGAGAACAGGCGCATAGCGCGATCGTATCGACCACAGCTGGACTTGGGCCTTCATCTTTGCTTAGTCATAGCGAAGCTTCCGTTACAGCCGAACGTCCGCCACACTGGCACTACCTCAAAGAGCCATCATACAACTAAGGCGCCAAGCTCGATGCACCCAGCGGATGAATTCATTGCCTTCATTGTCTTCCATATCTCCAGCCATGAGGAGGATGAATATGCCTTTCATGGCAGATACCGACGCATCACGTGTTTGCTTCGCCAAGCGTGCCTTCTATCGACTTTGCGTGGTAACGCATGGATCGAGATCTCTCTCGCATTAAGCCTTTCGCGTTGCGATTTCTTTGGGTGTGTTGGCCTCAAGCCTGGTGGGCCATACAGAAAGCGAGTGGCCAAACGACTCTTTGAGGCGCCCTTCCACGGATAGTGGTGTGAAGTCATAGTCTCTCTGTAACTACACTCCTCGATCGGCACCGAGCGCCCTCCTCTTCTTTAAATGTGCATTGCTGTTGCTCATCAAGCGCTTTCGTGACAGTCGTCGTTGACGGTATGTCCGGTACTACGCGCAATGCAATTAGTGTGTTTGCGACACCACGTTCACTTGATACCTCTCTTAAGGAATCGGCATTAAGGTATGGTGTCGGTAATACCGTACCTTATCGGTTATGATTTGACACACGACATCGCCGTACTAAGTACAACATACCCTTATGATTGCTTGACGTGTCATCCACTAATGAATTCTGCATATTTTAATGACTATTATAGTGTTTGGTCTAGTGTAGGGTACTTAGAATACTCAAGTCTTATTGTATAGATATACTTCCGGTCTCATTTTGACTTATAGAGTCAAGCCGTGTTCTCTAGTGCACTTCGTGCGTTTGGTTCTTTGAATCGTTAAGCTTTCAAAGCTTGTCAAGTTGCAAAGGTTGTTGACTGTAGAAGTCTCTCCTAGTATTTTAGAACGGGTGGACGTCTTAGTCGCTCATTAGTTCCTGAGAACTAAGTGGCTTTTAGCCCTCGTATTAATTTCCCCAGAGCTAAGAAGCTTTTAGCCAGTATAAGTCTTCCGCTGACTTAAAAAGCTGCGTAGCTACGATACATCGACCAATTGACCGGTTCATGTAGTTCAAGCTATTGCGTAAACCTTGTTTTGCCATTGCCGCTGGGACGATGCCAGTCGAGACTCATCATGTGATTGCAACATTACCTCCCAGTGGCTGCTACGTGCTTGACGTAAAGATCTGTGGCTACATTTACTGCTCTATCTATATCATGGATACAAACCGCTTTGCAACCTGTAATTATTGATATCCAGCTAGTTTCCCTGCTAAAAGTAATACATATACTTCAGTGATACTGCAACAATCATTCAAATCCATTGGAGGTCCCCACCACGTCAATAGTCATGAAGAGCAGTCCACAAAAGGCCTGGCGAGCAGCAGCAGGTCCGTAGACTAGTCTCAATATCTATGCTCTATTGTCTTCTCTACAATGCAGTGAATTTTCTATAATTTTCCTGTTTCTATACAGAAAAATTGGCTGCTGCCGACTTTCTTTTGATTGCAACAGGCGCCGGCTTTTCTGCTGATTCCTCGCTGCCAGTTTATGCGTACGGCTTCTTGTCAAAATATATTGCAATATATTGTTATAGACTAAAATGTAAATTTTACTATGTATCTTTTTTTGTATACAATACTACATTAGGGACATCGCCAAAATAGACGCGTACGATAAAATGGGCGTGACGTACCAAGATCTATGTGATCCGTACATGCTCGAGCAAGACGAAGAAATTTTCTATGGGTTTTGGGGCAGTTGTGTTAATTTATACAGAGATACAAAACATCATCGAGGATACGACATTTTACTCAAGTGGAGAGATGCTATTCGAGCTAAAAGAACGTTAGAAAATGGCAATCGCACAAATGGAAAGAGAATGAAGTTTCAAGCTTCTTTTGATCAGCTAAAACAGTGTAAAGCTCTTCCAGCTGAAGTGACGATCGATTCCGTGACCAACGACCCATTTTTTGTCTACACGTCTAATGTAAGGAGTTGATGGATGAACGATGGATTCATTTTGTGTTGTTCCGGTTTTGAAAGTATTGGGGTTTGATAACGATGACCACTTGGTAGGTTGATTCGCACTTCAAGCGAGATTTTGACGATAAGGAAGTGTATGAACTCCATGGCAGTGTGGAGACGTGGCAGTGTGCAGGCGATGTTGAGACTGGTGCTCGAGTGCCATGTGAAAGGATCTGGACGCTGCCGGCCGAATTCCGCTTTGATTTGGATGAGCCGACAATGAGAGCGTCTGGAGCGAAAGCGACGACTTGCCCGAAATGTGGAGGCAAAGGGCGACCGAATGTGCTCATGTTTCATGATCGCCAATGGATTGCAAACAAATTAGAGGAGGTGTGGTAGGGTCGAATTATTGTTACGCATTGGATGGAGCTCGAGACTTATTCTTGCCAATGTACTGGATATTGTAGAACGGATACATTGCATGGGAATCCGTGATGGAAGTTGTACGTTGGACATGGTCGGTCGCACTTTACGCTGCTGATTATAACCGATTATCACTGAACGATACTCCTTACAGATGCTTCAAGAAGATCCAAAACTGAATCTCGTCGTGCTTGAAATGGGCTGCGGAACACGGGTTCGTAATATAAGAAATATGTGCTTGCTATATATTGTTGATATCGTTGGTGCACTAGGTTCCATCTGTTCGTAGAGAAACCGAAATGGTTGTTGCGGATGTGATTGAGGGCTGCAATCGCCCCCAAGCGACACTCATACGAGTCAACCCTGAAATTCCTACCTGTGATAACCCTCTTCTTATCATGAACGAGGGGTTTATTTCCATTCGATCGAAGAGCCTAGAAGCTTTAGAAGGTATTGACCGAGAGCTCACCAACCTCCAGCAGAAGGCTTAAGCGAGTGGATGGGACTCGAATAGCGCTGTAAAGGCTTGCTAGATTTTGGGCTTACATCATCGCAAATTTTTGACATCGATGTTGTGAGTTAAACTTTGCAAACTTCTTCTGGTTGCTCTCCACCTGAGCTAAAACAGAGTACGTCGTCAAGGTTCTTGAGGTGCTGTCTTACGATTGGTTTTATCTCTATGGACGATACGAACGAAGGTGCAGTAAGGGTGCAAGGTACCAATTTAGCCACAGGTTCGAAGCAATTCATGTATTTTAATTTCACGATGGCCATCGGCTCCTGCCCAAGGACATATGTAGAACGAAACGACAAATTGTAATATAGCTTGGTGTTGGTACTGCGATGGTCCGTGAGTTCACGAGATCCTTTTTCGTCCAAGATAATGTCCTTCGGTTTCACGCTTGCGGTACACGATTTTTCAAACCTTGCATATTGCAACGACAGCACCTGTAGAGACCTTTGCTGCCACCCTTTCGGAACTTACTTCGTAACGTGAAGTACAGGTGATCCCTGCATTTCACTCACTACCCAGCAGTATACATAGCAATTGTAAAAGTATGGGGGAGTATCCAAGCAAAGAGCAAATATAGCTCGGAAGTGGACATTACTCCATCTTGATGTTAAGTTTCTCTTTCCATGCCGCCGTGAGTGCAGCTTCCTCGCTCTAGCAGTGCAAAACATGCCACATTTGAGGTTACTGATTACCGCAATTTGCTGGTGAGTCATGAGTACGTACCGGAACAAGTGAGACTTCCTTGTTCAGAATTGTGTTGAACATCTCTTCGGTCAGATTGTCGTACACTACGCTGTCTCCAGCAATGATAAGTCCCGAGAGTTCAGCTACGGCAATTCGTAGACTGCCAGCAGATGCTGTAGTTGTATCGGTCTCGGACGCACTGTCGGTAGACAAGCCAGTACCATTTTCGCGCTGCGGCTGACGTGGAAAGATAAATACTACCCTGCCTACAACAAGAAGATTGTGTGGCATCTTTTGAGACTGCAAAAGCTCCAGTATCGTCCACGCAATCTCCATGACGTGTGTCTCATTGCTAGCTGGATCCTCAGGCTCAAGGACGTAGCTAGTCGTCTTCCAATCCAGAAGGTACTTCACAACTACTCCACCGATACGAAACATTTCTTCTCTCAGCTGAGTCACAACCGGAAAGTTTACACTCGTCCCATTTTCAATATGAGGGAAGAAGTAGCCTTGTAGATGAAAGTGATTCACAGATGACCAAGCTCCAGCGCTGTTGAACCCTGTCAGCATTTCGACTATTATTGTATCCTCAATGTGTAAGTGTGAGCAGGAGATACGTACCCAGAGCAAAGTCCTCTCGTCGAATCGCCTGGGAGATACTAAGAGCGTACAGCATAAACTTCTTCGTCATTTTCTGCGGTTTCACACGATTTAACTCGGGCACAAACAACATGTGACCTCGGACCTTCAGTAGAGTTAGCGATAGTTCAACGATAGATGTCCACGGAAAACAAAAGCCTTCGTACCAACGGAGCCACATTAACAAGAACAAAGTGCTCCGGTTCATCCTTACCAACATCTCCCATATCAACGGTCTGCACAGAAAGAAGATGCTGGTCGTCTTCGGTCTTGAAACGGAATCCACTCAGGAATTCCTCTCTCCTAAACATCAGAATGAGCAAATGTCACGACAGCATGAAATGTCATTTGCAAGTGCGTCCTCCTACTTGGCCATCGTAAAGTTAAAGTCCGATACTTTCGGGTTGGCAAAAGTTTCATCAGTCGATAGCTGTAAAAGCAGCGGATCCACTGGCCGTTTGTTCTGCGCGTAACAACACATGGCTTTGAGTACTCTGATACTTTGTTACAAGTTGTAGCAATTTACCTTGCGATGACTTGGGTTGAACTGAACAATGAGTCCTAAGGTCCCAGGTACACGACGACGTAATGTGTCGTCAATATTTGTCCGCATAACACCTGCCGCAAACGTATATACTATCCATGTCATCCTAACATCCCCTTCCATCTTATGTAGATAACAAACTTGCCCGCAGACGCGGCAAGGTCCCATCGACTCAGCAGATGTTCGTCCAGGTTTGTCGACGCCATGGCGTTACTACTTTGTCGTAAATCCACACGTAATGGACGGTCCATACCCGGTCGATTCCTAAGTGATACTGATACCTAGAACGAACTAACCGATAGGAAGTGACCAGACTGCATTTGAGTTGAAAGGCTAGCGCCAACCACAAGCAGCTATGTGCTTCCACTACGTCATGATGGCGTAGTCACCACCGTTACATGTCCATGATCAAGTGACCTACCAAAACCTTCTTCATTTATTTTCATATCAATGATAGATCTTACAAGTCCTAACTGAGTCGACTAGTTTCTAGAGATTTCTTTGGTAGTGACGCTTATTGTCACCAGCTTCTGGTAAACAATTATGAGTGGAGTTTTTTATTCAAAAGTGAATCAGCATTTCGATTGCAAAGAGGTTCTGAGAGCCAACAAGGCTGTTAAAAAGTAAGAATAAAGTTGAAATCAATGACTTGGATAGTAACGCGTGCCAGACGCGTTTTGGTTTCCGCCGGGGTTTCATCAGTGGCTTTGTCAATTTGCAAGTGAGAACCACATTCATAGAAGCATCTAGAAGCCCCTAGCGCAGGTTAAAGCTCTAGAGTCAATACCATGTCCAACTTGCAGGTAGCAGAACCGAAGCTGAGCTCGGAACGAAAGTTCGATTTTTTTATAGTAATATAATCGTTCTTGCCCCGCAAAAATATGACCATGTCATTTAGAAATAATAATATTGCTTTTCATCGATCTCAATATCGATTAATATTACTGTGCTTACAAGAACATTAGCACGAAGCAAAACAAAATAGTATGTCGTTGTATTCTTGCTCATATTAGTACTGCCCATGATTTCTGCGACCTGTCAACACAATATCTTCTGACAGGGAACATTATTTTACCAAGGGCATCCATCACAACATTTGCTTCGCCTACCACATGAATTCTCTCAGCCTCAACAAGCTCTTCGATGTAAAGGATAAAATAGTGGTCATCACGGGTGGTGGTCGCGGCATTGGCAAGATGATGGCCGACGGTTTCGTGCAAAATGGAGCTCGAGTGTACATCGCTTCCCGCGACTTGGAAGCGTGTGCAGCTACCGCCAAGGAGCTCAATGCCAAAGGTCCGGGACAATGCATTCCCGTACGTAGACTATACTCAACACTAACTTGCTGTTGCAAAAGCAATGACGATTGACGTGATAAGGTTAATGTACTCAGCTACGAGCAAATCTAGTGAGCGAGAGTAGTTGCAAGGAATTGGCGGATGAGATCGCCAAGAAGGAGCGCAGAGTCGACGTGCTTATCAACAACTCGGGCGTTGCATGGGGTGGGGACTTTGACCATCATCCAGAGTCTGGTACGAATACGCTACAGGTCGATTTCTTTCTGAGAGGAAATTTGTTCATGGGCTTATTTGTTGTGATCAAATGCTGTTGCTGCCAGCTTGGAACAAAGTCTTGGCGGTAAATGTGACGTCACCCTTCCATCTGACCAAGTTTCTCTTGCCTCTATTGGACGTCGCTGCAAAGACGTCGGATGCTGCGCGTGTTATTAACGTTGGATCAGTGGCTGGGCTCGTACCGCAGCAGATCGACACGATCGCGTACGACACGTCCAAGGCAGCGATCCACCACATGACGCGTGTTCTGGCAGCAAAGCTCGCGCGTCGTCCGAACGGCGGCCACATTCTGGTGAACGCCATTGCGCCCGGGCTCGTGCCGTCCAAGATGTCAAAGGGCATTTCTTTGGCCACGGGTCTGCCCATGGATGATCTTGCTGCGGGGATCCCGATCGAGCGACTTGGCCAGGATTCCGATATGGCTGGACTCGCCATTTTTCTGTCGTCCAAGGCGTCAGGATGGATCACTGGTACGGTGATTGCATCAGACGGTGGTCAAGTGTGTACTATGGTGACTGGTGTGGGTCCCGCGAAGCTGTAGACAGAAGCTTTGGTTGTAGTGGCATGCGTAGTAGATTACCTACGTTCAGTTGAATGGGCATGTGCAGGTACTGCGATTGTTATAAATTTATAGGTGTTAATACTCACTTGTACTATTTTTGTTAATACTTTAGCATGGGAATCAAGGAGGCAGTGTGTATGACGTCTATGTAGTATGTTAAAGCGTTGACAGATACTATGCCTGCGCAAGGGTCAGCTCGGATAGTCGGCGGCGTAACGTGGTGTCCGCATACGTCGATAGCTAGCTGTGAGTCCGTAATTGCAGTCTCCATCTCAAGCATTTCTAGACGGATGTAAGATGTGCTTCAAGCAATCTTTAATATTTGTTGAGGTAGAGTAATACCGAGTATAGTACTACAGGTCTCATATTTCGTACTAAATATGAAGTTTAGAAATTCATGCTGTAAAAATATGGCAGATAAATGAGTGAATGCAATTGACGTTTCTAACCGCCACCAGCCAATCAATTAATATAATTGACTGTCTATGGTGAACGCCAAGCAGCGTCGCAAGCTCCTGCGCGAACAGCAGCAGCCAAAGCAACAAGAGGAAGGCATTAGCATCAAGGAAGAAATCAAGGAGGAGGTCACAGCAATAGTATCAGCAGCAACAACTCAAGACGATGACGAGCAACGTAACACCAAAGAGCGTCGCCGGTTGGCACGCCTAGCAAAGCAGAAAATTGAAGTTGTGACTGGAAAAGATGAGACCATAGTGGCTACAAGTAAAGTGACAAATGATGATACTGATGAGCCAATGAACGCCCAGCAGCGTCGTCTGTTGAAGCGTCAAACGAAGCGGAAACTCGAGGGAGTCGAAGACGCAAAGCCGCTGCAAAAGGAGAAGAAGCGGAAGAAACAGAAGAAGGACGAGGATAACGATGTCCACAAGAGCATTCACTTGACGTTGTTTGTAGGACAGCTGCCATTTCGTGCTACTGAGGGAATGATCCGGAAACATTTTGCAGAGGCGGGTGATATCAAGCTCCGCATGCTGACGGACAAGAAGACTAAAAAGTTCAAAGGCACGGCATTTATTGAGGTGAAGGACAGTAAGGCACTGGGTGCCGCACTTTCGCGTCATCATACGTTGTTGCAGGGACGTCGGATCAATGTCGAGTTGACTGCCAGTGGTGGAGGCAACAAGTCGGAGAACCGACGCAACAAAATTGATTTGTTGAGGAAGAAACAAAGCAGCGTTCAGGTGACAAAGACCAAGGCGTTGATTCAGAAACACATTGACGGACCAGAGTATAAGCTCAAGCAGGAGGACGTGGATGATAGGATGATTGATTTTTTGTCGTGGTTCGATTATGAAACGGCTAAGAATGCGTTGGATGAGTACAACCGCTGTGTGAGCGATCGTGTGAATAACCGCAAGGCCTTTTTCATGGGAATCTTGAAGCGATTTCGACAGACAGACGGCGAGGAGTAGATCAGCTACTCTCTTTCAGGAATCGCTTTGGATATAATGATAGAGACAAGTTGCATCTCGTATAAATCAACCTTTTATCTAGCTCATCTTCGTTCGATTGCATCCATCTCCGAACAACTTTTTCATACAAAAATATCGCAAAAGATGTAGCCGTTAGATATTGCCGGGTATACTGTATAATTTAATGTGGTATTGCAATAATAGGACAGCATACAGTATCACGTCGCAGTTGGCAAAAAACCCAACATTTTCCACTTGTTTTTGTCATTTTTCAATAACTTTTTCCAACTGACATAAAAATAACTAATGGCTCGTATGGTCACTAACAGTCGTATCGGTCTTTCTCGCTCTCTTAGCGGATGGCGACGTCTTCCAGGCTCTAATTTTGACAATAAAGTATTGCAAGAACTTCCGATTGATTCTGAACCTCGAAATTTTGTGCGCAGTTCCGTTCCCCGTGCGTGTTTTTCTCGTGTAAAGCCCACACCAATTATCAATCCGGAATTGGTCGTGATTTCTCCTAATTCCTTACTTTTAGCTGGTATTGAGCTAAAAGATAATGTTCATCAGGGTAAATACCTAGGAATTAATGCTAAAAATCAAGATATTAAGGGTGAAGACGATAATTTTGAACCACTGGACACTCTTGTGCCAATTTTAGCTGGCAATACATTGCTTCCAGGCTCCGAGACGGCGGCTCAATGTTATTGCGGCCATCAATTTGGATTTTTCTCGGGACAATTGGGAGATGGAGCTGCTGTTTATCTGGGTGAAGTGGTGACTGGAGATGAACGGTGGGAGGTGCAGCTTAAGGGGTCCGGACTCACTCCTTATTCTAGAACGGCTGATGGCAGAAAAGTGCTGAGATCGACGTTACGAGAATTTTTAGGCAGTGAAAACATGTTTGCTCTAGGAGTGCCAACTACTCGCGCAGGGAGTGTAGTAGTGTCCAGAGAGACTCAAGTGTTACGAGACATTTTCTATAATGGCAACACCAAGATGGAGCCGACGGCGGTGGTTACGAGAATTGCAAAGAGTTTCTTGAGATTTGGCACTTTTGAGATTTTTAAGGACAAAGATCATTTCACGGGTCTTGCAGGGCCAAGTGCCCATGTGGAACACAAAGAGGAGATGATGAGACAGATGCTGGACTTTACTATCATACAATATTTCCCGGAGATAAAAGGAGGAGACAAGTATGAAAAGTTTTTTGAAGAAGTGGTGCGTCGTACGGCAAAGCTCGTGGCAAAATGGCAGACAATTGGGTTCTGTCACGGTGTGTTGAACACAGACAACATGAGCATCGTGGGTGACACGCTGGACTACGGTCCGTTTGGCTTTATGGAGCACTTTAATCCAAAGCACATATGCAACACGTCAGATGACCGCGGTCGCTACCGCTATGAGGCCCAGCCTGAAATTTGCAAGTGGAACTGCAGTGTACTAGCTGATCAGCTTGGATTGGTGGTAGATCGTGCACGACTTGATTCTGCCCTAGCGGCGTTCGAAAGATATTACGAAGAAGAGTATATGCGTTTAATGCGTGAAAAACTTGGCATTGCATCGCCTCATCTTGCAGAGGACAAGATGCTTGTGGATACGTTGTTTGACGTGCTGGCCCATACTGGTGCGGATTTTACTTGTACGTTCCGGAACCTTTCGAGACTTGACGCTTTCGACTCTGGTGAGTCTCGTGATGTTGTGCTGAACCAACTTGTGGCACTGTCGGAGACCTTGGGTCAGCGGAAGCGAAAATTGGAGCAGGAATCAGTTGGAGTCTCAGATGCCCAATTTGACATGATCGTGATGATGCTTCAGGATAATCCTGGGCGTGCTAGTCAATACGGAATTACTCCTGCCTTGGTCTCTCAGATGAAGGCCAATCGTGAAGCAAAGAAGACACTTGACGCAACTACCGAAGATGAACGCATGAATAGTATTCGCGTTGCGTGGGAAGACTGGATTGATGTTTACATCTCGCGAATCAAGGAAACAGGAAATGCTGCTAGCGATGGTGAGCGTCGTAGCCGCATGCTCGAGGTCAATCCATTGTTTGTGCTACGAAACCATGTTGCTCAAAAGGCCATCGATTTGGCCCATGCAGGTGACTATGATGGCGTTCAACATATTTTTGAGCTGCTGACGCACCCGTTTGATGAGCCCAGTGACGAAAGTGATCTCGAGTATGCTCGGCCGCAAGATCCGTCAACTGCCCCGCTTTGTGTATCGTGTTCGTCGTAGATAATATTTGCCGTCAGCACCATGAAAATCTTGAAGACTACGCTGGTGCAGCTTGTTTCTGCGTTGATATCTGTGTTCATGAAACTCGTGAACATTGAAAAGATGATTTTGTGTTTTCCCGGGAAGGTTTACAGTTAAGATAAGGCACAACAAGGTCATGTTTCTTGCGCCTATATGTTTGATATACTGTAAACAGTGCTGCAGTGAGCGTAAGCACTTGCCACTTAGAACGTGCTCTCATAAGCAAAACGTCTTCAAGGACCAGTTTTTTTCCAGTAACAAACAATGTTCTTAGGAGTTCACGCAAGAGGAACGTTTCAATCACCAACAAAGTGTTCGTCTATTGAGTGACGTGTCACCATCAAATTGTCACCAATGCTCTCATCTAGCTGCCTGATGCCTTCATTGCACGGAAAGCCGTCTCCTTACCCTCTGCACGATACTTTGCCTTCTTCTCTGCTTTGTGCACGCCTTCAAACTGTTTCTCCTCGCGCCGTTTGCGCTTCAGGTTCTCTGCGTTGCGTTGGCTCTGTCGCTCCTTACGTGTGGCCTCACGGTCGCGACGTACAGTATTAACGCGAAGCATGAAACCATACTTCTTTTTCTCCTCTGGCTCCAGCACAACCGCACGACTGGCCAGGTAGCCCTTCTTGACACCCTTCTTCTTGTCCTCCTTAGGCTTACTGGCAAACGGCAAGTTAGCCTGCAACTTCTTCGGCACCTTCAGCGCAGCAAACTTGCGTTCGGTACGCAGGATAGGTTTGTATAGCGAATCTGGGTTCACAGGTACTGCCAACTTTTGCGCCTTGCGAAGCTCGTACGTGGTCTTCATGAGCCCTAACGTACTCTTTTTGGAGCCCATGACGTTCGTGAGCAAAGACGTCACAGGGTTGTACAATTGTTTGGGATCAACGGGCACCCATGTGCGGCAGAACACCAAATCACTTTTCAGAATCTTGTCTTCGAAGGTGGCACGGAAATCACCCTTCTCGCCGCGAAGTGCTTTCTTGATCCGACCACGTACACCACTCACAGTGCGAACACTGGCGCCCTCAAACTTGGCCACTTCCAGTTCTGTGTTAAACATGCCCTTGATGAAGGCAGTGTTCTTGTGAATTTTGCTCGGCGTACCGATCAGCTTGAGCTTCTTCACCACATTAAACTTGTGGTCCAGTTCCAGTACGACGCCAGTACCACTGACGCGAAACCCTTCGGCATTATTTGACAATGTCTGAAAGGCCACTACGCCAGTGTTGGGCGGGCACATGGGTCCAAAAATCGTAGCATGACAATGCATGTGTTCTGGTGTGTACTTCAGATAGCGATGACGTTCATTCGTGTCTTCGATCGAATATACAGGCAAGCTCTGAAACCGCCGCCAACCGATGGAGAATACCAGCGGGTCATTGGTCTTTAGAATCTTCCTGTGCCAACGGTGTTTCTTAAAGCGCATGCGAACGAGCCCTAGGGTGTCCTCCATAGTAGGCAGACCACCCACAACGATCGGATTCTTTGGATCATAATACCGGACAAATTCAGCGGGCACGCCTGAGAACTCAATTCGGACATAAAGTCCGTTACGAAAGCCTTCCAGCTGAAGCCGCATGTCCTCACCTTCTTCACCAAACTCCTCTGCATTACGCTGTGCCTGCTCTTCGCGAAGGCGCTTGGCTTCGACCATAACCTCTGTCAATTCTTCATCCTCGTCATCCTTGCTTTTCTTTTGGCCACCAACTTCCACGTCATCATCATCATCCTCTACTCGCTTCGTTGACTTCTGCGCACGGAGACGCTCGCGAATTTGTTCATCGGTCTCTACGTTATCTCCCTCGTCGTCGCTTTCCCCACTGTTGTTCATACCACTATCGACACTATCAGCACCCTTGTGAACCTCACCAGTCTCCAAATTTTCGAAAGAACCGTCCATTTCGTCATCGTTCGTTGGGTCAGCATTGACATCATCGACATCCTCTTCACCATCATCGTTGCTGCTTTTCTTGTTAGTGCGTTTCCACGATCCAGTCACAAACCGGTTACGAAGGTTTTCAAGGACATCTGGCATCGTCCAGTCGTTCCCATCATCAGAGCCCAGATGCAAACGAGAGCAATCAATCGCATTAATAGCGTTGTACTTTTCGGATGCTGACGAAGACACTCCCAAAGCGTTAGATTTTCGCTTCAGCGTGAAAAAGCTGTCGTCGTCATCGTCGTTATCTTCATTTAACGCGCATTTGCCATTCTTAGTTTCCTCCCCGTTTTCCAAATCGCGCTCAGTCATGTGAAGCTTTTGGCGCTCACCGTACACAAGTTCCATCAGGTTGACATCGGACTGTTCTCGCTCCAAGAAATTAGCAGCGGCACGAGAAACCATATTCTCCTTCCACCGCAGCTGCGACTGCTCTTCAGTGACCTCTTTCTCATCTTCGTCGTCGCTGTCACCATCGTCGTCATCGTCATCGTCGTCGTCATCATCGTCTGAATCTGAAACGGCACTGCTGTTCAAGATCGCACTGGGCTCCTCGTCCTCGTCGAATACTGCTCGTCGACGCATCCGACCAGTACTGTCACGAACAATAGCTTCCTTAGGTTTGCCTATATTGGCTTGTCCATCGTCATCGTCATCATCGCTGTCATCATCAGTGTCATCTTCCTCTTCCTCCTCGTCGCTGTCTACTTCGTCTGCACGGATAGCAGCGGTGCTCTTAAAAAGTGACAGACTGGCACCCTTCAGCCTTTCATCAAGACCAACATCCATCTTTTGCATACTCTGAACCATCTCAACACCTTCACCGCCCAATCCAATACGCATCCCACTTTTTCCTGTAATCTCTATGTCATCTGCATCGTACTCATCAGCCACAACATCTCCAGTGTCCGGGTTCGTGTAATTCAACTGGCTCAAATTAATATACATGGCATCCTTGTCGTACATAATGTTGCCAACATCCGACATTGGTGCATACAAGAGCGTATCTTTCTGAGTCAAATGTTTCTTCTTTCCATTTTTGTCCACACCTATTTTGCTCGATGGTACATTGCATGGATCAGGCATTGCCGTGACACTGTCCATATAGAAATCACCTGCACCTGCAATATGCATCTTCATATCGGGTTTCAAATGGGTACCACGCAAATATCCATACAATGTCACACGTCGATCCACCATTGGATTATGTTGAATATCATTCGGTGCTGTCACATCCTCAAACCGATCCACCAACATATAAGAATGTGAATTTCGCCATGTCAGTGGTCGAAATTTCATCCTGGAAATATACAAGGATAAATTATTAATCTCTCCTTTTGGATATTTGTTGGCTGAGATTCCAGAAAAGTAAAAAAGTTTGGCGCCTTGATAAATTTCAGTCCAAAAACGTGCTTTGAGTCGTTTTTTCGTTTTCCGAAGACTTTTGGTCTTTCGAAACCCATCCAAATGGGTCAAAATACCCATCACTTTTGGAAATCCTGACACTTGCAGGATGTTCAGAAACTCAAAGGTTTCCATTTCAAACCCAAAACTTGCATCCACCAGTAGCAAGACAAGGTCGGCAATCTTGGCAAGATCAATCATAGCGTTTAAATCATTCGGACATTCAAAAAAAGTGATACGACGGTCTTTTCCACTTACTACCGTCACTGGTCCTTTCACTTCAACAAGATTATGACGAGTATATCGTTTCACTAATGAACGAATTACAGTACTCTTGCCACTACCAGGTGGCCCCATCACAACGACAGAAATAGGTGGTGGTAAATTTTCATCCCGGTTTTGTTGTGGTACATATTCCTTACGATGTGCACGGTCCAAGTTGCGTTGAATGGTCTTGCGTGCCCGACCAGCTTTTGCAACACCAAAAGCTTTGGGATTTTTACGTTGTTCAGCTAAGGATGGCTGCTCTTTTTTTTGTTTTTCATAATCTTTACGCTTTTGTTTGTTCACTTTAGCACCAGACTTGGACTTTCGATGACCTTTGACTGCTGTAGACACATCCATTCACTCGAGAGACTGACTTTCTAGAGACAAATGATACACTGACGCTGATGATGATGTTGCCAAAACAGCTGTTAATTTGGGTGGCTGCGACGAAATGGATGGTCGCAATGACCAAAGTACGATGTGATGTGGAGAACATACAAGAAACAGGAGAACTTGTGGGAATTGATACCCTGTACATCTCGATTGGGACTCAAAACAATTCGTTTTCTTTCGCTAGACGAAGTAGACCAACTGCTCCAGTGCAGGCAAATGGTTCAAATGGTGTACTTGCCCCCTCGTCGTCGCTTTCATCCGTTTCTACTTTTAACTTGTGCAGTTTTTTGGAACGTTTCGTGTGTTTCATGCGTCTTTGTCGCGGTCCAACAGCTGTACAAAGTGTTTCTCCATCGCCAGGTTTACATGTTCCAAGCTTCTGCTGATGCCGTTGAGCTTGCATTTGAGTAACCTTTTCACCTTCATCCTCGCTTTCGTCACTGTCAAAGTCAGCGCCATAACCATCGGAATCATTGTCATGATGAATCTTTTGATGAAATGATTCGTCACAACCCCGATCACTATCGTCTTGTACGTGCCAGGAGTCTTTGTCGACTACCGTGTGTGTCACTTCATCCAATCGTCCAATTGCATCGTCATTTGCCCAGCAATCTCTTACATCATCTCCGGCCTTGTCCTCCTCGTCCACAATGTCATAGGTAGCTCGCTCTTCACCTGATGACACACAAACACTATCTTCATCCGAGCCACTAGCGTTCTGAGGTGGTATCCTAGACTTCAAGGGAAGACGTCCAAAGTCCTTCTTCCATAGACGCAAAATATGAATATGGTGATCAAAGAGCAACTGGAAATGATCTTCCGTTGTGGCCTGTTGGCTAAAATCACGAGGCAAGCGGCTAAACACCATGGCGATCACCATATCCAGCACATTCATATTTGTAGTCACACCATTTTCTCCGCCAGGGTTGCCAAATGCACTATAGCATTCTTCTTCTTCCAGCTCGGGTTCGGTTAGGTAAGTATCCAACAGTATCATCAAACGGTTTTCGATATCCTCCAGCTTTCGCAGCATCAAGTACTGTCCCGTAGGCTTGCCTTCTTGACTCGTCATTTTCTCTAGTTTTTCCCGAAACGAATCGCGTAGGCGAGTAAGCTATTCACATTCAAAAAGCACAAGTGGTCGAGTCAGCACAAATGAAACACCAGTCAAAGTGTTGCCAGCAAACCAATGGCAGCTCACCTCATCGATCTCGTCACAAAGTCCTTGTTGCTTCTCTTCATAGTGTTTGAATTCCTGTTCCGCCAGCAGCTCCAACTCGGTTATCACGTCCCTTTTCCACCGAATATCCCGCGAACATCGACGCAGACAATTCTTCAAGTACTCGACACTTTTCCATTTTGACGGATACGATAATGTGTGTAAATACTCGTGCAGTGGAACACCATCAATGTCGGTAGGGTAATCAACCATAGCAAAAATATCGTCTGGATACGCAGCATGCAGACCGTCCATCATGGCACGTGATGTTCCATACGTGCAGTGAAAACACAACTCTGTCAATAATGTCAAAAATACATATCCATCGTGTCAATACCAGTCTCAATTGTCAAAATTGACCATGGTCAACAATAGACGTACTTTGTTCAAAAAATACTTCTGCCAATTGTGAAAAATGCTCGTGCAGCGTATTTTTGACACGGTGGAAAACTTCCATTACATCAAACACCTCCACCTCGTTTATGTCTGGAAAATGCTGCCGCCGTACACGTGTGAGATTTACGAGGAGTCTGGGAAAATCATCCGGTAATTCTAGCGTCGGTTCGTGTTCCCAGTCGTCCTTTTCCTGCTCCGTTTCGACATTTTTGACATTTTTGACACATGAATTTGCTTCAATCTCCCAGTCGTGAGTTTCCCACGAGTCTTCGACATCATTTTTGACACTTTTGTTGTCCTTGCGTATGGATGTTGAAGAAAGTGCAGCGTTAATTTGGAGAAAAGAGGCTGGCAAGGCAATTCTCATGGTCATGGACGAGTCAGAAATGACGCGCGGGAACCCGCGTGGAGCATCCACGGGACGAGACAATACCTCCATTTTCCTGATCATGGCGTCAAAAATGTCCTTGCCAGCCGTTAGCAGAAAATATACCGGTAATCATGAGAGCCCTGTATGAACTTGTATACTCTGATATTAAATCTTGCAAGGCTATGAAGAACTTGCTATAAGTTGGTACTATTCTTTTTTTAGAAATATCTTGGTCGAAAGAAATCCTTAATTTTAGTCGTTGCTATTTTAGAAAGTAGCTCATATTTTAGAACAGTTTGGGTAACATCCTTGACTACCGAATCAGTTGAATTGTAGTAAAGTCCTAGATTACTGAGACCGAATTGCTAAATACGATTGCGTACGTGCTGAGCGACGTTTAATGTAGCGCTGGTTGCTAGCAAGGAAGATAGAGACGGACGAATGCAAGAGCTTTGTCTTTCTTTGCAACAATTCTGACCGCCGAGCGAAGACTGAGAGCCATTTAAAAAGATAAGACACGTCTCGCATTTTTGCACGTACTATTGTCACCATAACTCAATCATTAATTACGTGCTTGTTGCAAACAGCTTTGTCCATCGTTCACCAATCGGTCGAAGCTCGATACGTCGGATCTCAGTATTTTCTTCATCGTACGAGATTTGCACCTCCAGTCTCTCCGCTGGAACACTCGCTTTATCCAAGCGCTCGGGCCATTCCACCAGCGTAATCTCTATTGTCACCCCATTAGAAACATACGTACCATTAGTCCAAAGGTCCTATATCTCAGTGAAACATACCCCCACCTCGTTCGAATGCTTCAAGCAACCCCAAAGCAGTTACATCCTGCTTCGTCACGGCCTCCAACCGATAGAGATCGATGTGGTACACCATCGGCAAATCAACTGCTTCATCGTACGTATTTACCAGCAAATACGTCGGCGACATCACCGCCAGCTCCTTTTGCTGTGTATGTGCCCTCACAAATCCTCTAGCCAAACACGTCTTCCCACAGCCTAAATCTCTGCATTTGTAACGTGCCAAAACTCAGCAATTTCGTACATAAAAGTACTCACACAATAGCGATCATTCAAATCCTCATTGGTAATTGCCAAAGGAAGCTCACATACCCGCGTAGGAAGAGGACATCGCCAGCCTGTCGTCCTCGAGCCAACCGTTTACCCAGCATCTCCATATCTCCTTGAGATCTAGTCATTTGAAAACGAGACAAACGTGTATCGATAGCATTTGCGTCGCTCTTGTCAGCCGAATTCGAAGACACGACAACGGATAAGTAACGACGCGTGCAGCTGCGATGCGGCAGAGTCGCGACAGTCTGACGCATTAGCATGACTGTCGTAGAGTCCAAACCTAATGTTGATGTGGTCAACCTAAATATAAAAATGGATTACGTATACGCATGTATCCATCGCATTTTCCCCTAATCAGAAACCAACAAAGAAGAAAACAATGTCGGGCTGGGTGAGTACGTGGCTGCAGGGCAAGGGCGAAGACGACGAGGAGAGAAAGACTGAGAGCAGTGGACACGCTACAGGTGGTAGTATACTCTCAGACGGAGCAGTGCCTACATCAGCTGACGAGATCCGGCGAAAACGGCTGCAAAAGCTCCAGGAGCAGCAGATCCAGACACAAAACACTATTACAGCCAATGAGAACACTGCAAATACGAAAAACGACGTAATAATGACCAATCAAGAGACATTATTACAAGCAGACAAGAAGACCACTTCAGCTGCTCCTCATGGACCTGCGACGACCCTTACAGAAGCTAAAAGACCCAAGAAAAATGGCCCACAGCCTGAAGTTTACGTCAATGAAGTGCTGCAACGAGTTCTTCACGTGACGCTGTGTCCAGCCAACAGCAGCAATGATGTTCTCCTTTTGCCACAATTTGTGACCCAATGTGAAGTCGAAGATATGCTACTCAGCCCTTTAAATGTCAGTGAAGTGCTGTACTCTCGGATCATTATGAACCCAGGCGATCTGCCTGGAGGCTCACAGCATCCACTGGCGGCTGTGGCTTATCTAGAGCAAGTTTTCTATCGCTGTAGAGATGAGATACAGAAGCTGCAGTCGTCCTTTGTACGACTTCCGGCAGAGAAGAAACAAGAGACACAGGAATGTCTGAGTAGTATCAGAATCATGTGCATTAACTACAGTGCTACAGCCTTAACAGATCCAGAAATCTTTCCTTTCGAAGCGGGGACGATTAATGCTGATGCATTGGAAAAGATTGTGAGATTGCAAGCTAATGCACAGACACCAGAATTTTTGGACGGACTGGTGGCAGAACTGGAAGGGAATGGTGCAACGATGACGGTGTTTACACCCATTTTTCAGAAACTATTGTCGGAGCTGTTCCTGATCAATCCACCATCGCTCATGTCTAACTTTTATAACAACATGTATGTGCTGACGATGTTGTGCCGCAATAAAGCTTTAGCTTCGGTGTTTACGCGAATTCCTGGATTTTTGCTTACACCAGGTCTACCCATGACGGGTCGGCGCCTTCAGGATGCGACAGCTCTTGGATTGTTGCTGCGCTTTAGCTGCAATCAAGACCCAGCCATCACACAGATGTTCACAAACATTACGACACGGACGAAGAATGATGTGGATAACTCTATTCTGACTATTCGCAACAAGCTGGATAGTGTCCAGACGACAGTTTCGGATATTGTGACGTTACTACTGAAGGCTGGCACACCCGCTCGTGAACAAGTACTAGCGTGGTTGGAACAGGCGGTGCTGGTGAATGCAGAGCGCGCTAAAGAAAATCCAGATGCAAATATTACATCCACCAATGGAATGTTTGTTAATTTGACAATGGTGCTGCTTAAACTATGTGGTCCTTTCATGGTTCCGAAGTCGAAGAAAGCGCAGCTAATCAAGACGGAGTTCTTGGCTAGCCAAAATCCGTTGTTCCCCATTGATGAGACGAGGTTGGTCGGTGCTGGTACTCAAGACGCCGCTTCGACACAAGATGATCGCCAAGTGTTGAACAGCTCCAACTTTAACTTCATCACGCGCTGCTACTTCATCACAGTTCGCACGATGCACCTCGGACCCGTGGGCATGATGGGGCAATACATGCGTCTGCTTCGGCAACTCTCTTACTTCCAGAATCGTATGAATGCTCCGAACGCAGACCCTCGTCTGAGAGCGCACTTTGACCAGATGGCGGCCACGAAGATGATTATGGATGCTGAACTCTTGCATCCAGATTTCTTGCATGAGATGATTCGCTTCTCTCTACTTACGTGCGCGGTCGTAAACTCAATCTGTACTGGATCGGACGTATATGATGAGAGCGCATTGCTCGGGCTGCCTCTTCCGACACCTGACACGGACCAAAACGTCTCTCTGAAGCACATCCCGGAGCATTTGGTGGATGACTTGTGTACGATACTGAAGTTTGTAGCGCGGCTTCAGCCCAAGGCACTAAATGCGTTCGAGTTGGAGGAGTTACTCAAGATGATTATTATTTTCCTATCCAGTCCAGCTTACGTGCACAGTCCTCACTTGCGCGCCAAAATGAGCGAGGTACTGTTCCAAATCTTTTTGCCATCGGAGGAGTCAGACGAACGCGAGACGGCTGGAACTGCCTTTGGAGTTGAACTTCTAATGACGAACATGCTGGCACAGCGACATCTTGCTCCGTGTCTTTTGGCGCTTTATGGTGATGTTGAGCAGACAGGATTCTACGAGAAGCTCGAGCATCGCTATAACATTGCCTGCTTGCTCAAATATCTGTGGAAACTGGATGGCCACAAGCCAGCATTCCTTCTTATTGCCAAGGACAACGAGAATTTTGTAAAGTTCGCTCATGGATTGATGAATCATATTAACAGCCTCGTTACTGATGCGCTTGTGGCCCTGCCAGAGATCAAGATGTTGCAGGAAGAAATGCAGGATGTTGCGCGTTGGATGGCCCTTGATGAAACAGTGCGTGAGCAAAAGGAGAGTCTATTGTCGGATAAGGAGCGCACAGTCACATCGAGCCTTCAGTTGGCCAATGAAACTATCCATATGATGTCTTATCTGACGTCTGAAATTCAGGAGCCTTTTGTAAAGATGCCAGAGCTTGAAGACCGTCTTGTAAGCATGCTAAATAGCGTAATTGTCAAGCTCGCAGGGCCGCGTGGGCTGGAGCTTAAAGTGAACAACCCGGAGCAGTATAAGTTCCGTCCAAAGGTGATGCTGAAGGAAATCGTGGAGACGCTATTGCATTTTGCCCATTACCCGAGCTTCTTGAATGCTGTGGCCACAAATGGCTTTTATGACGGCCAAGTATTCCGTAAGTGTGCCCATATTGTGGCTCGAACCCAATTATTGGAACCGAGCGACGTCCAGAAGTTTGAAACATTTGTTGCAAACATTGAGATAGCTGCTGAGGGGGCAGCGAATCTAGAAGAAGCGCTTGGCGAAATTCCAGAGGAGTTCCTTGACCCGTTGGTATGCACACTGATGAAAGACCCCGTGCTGCTACCGAGTGGGTACACGATGGATCGGTCATGTATTTCTCAACACTTACTAAATGACCAAAGCGACCCATTCACCCGCGTACCTTTGACGATGAGCCAGTTGCAGCCAAATCTTGACCTGAAGACAAAAATCGAACAATGGGTACTTGAGCAGAAACAGAAGCATGCCGCGAAGTAACGAAGATGATGGATTAATAAGAAACGACGGGTTTGTTTTCTGCTAGATGTTCACTTCGGTGCCTGTTCAAGCCTCATTGTTATCAAAGTGTGTCCTTCATTTGGTGCCGCGATATCTCAATTGATTTGTTTCCATAGTGGAGAGTAACGACATCGGCCAAGCTTGTTAATCCTTTTGTACTAATTCTGTATGATATTAACAGCAATCAAAGGCCGCGAGTTGCAGCTTTTCCATAAAGTGCTAGGCTTCCTACTTGCATTTATGTAAAAAATCAATTAAAAAATAATTTCGCTATGCAAGAATCCGGCGAGCCTCTTTCCATTTTGGTTCACATGTTAAACACAAGAAAGGCACAATTTTATACTACGCTCTGTAAAACTACGCTCTGTAAAACTACGCTCTGTAAAACTACGCTCCCTATGATCCTTTTTGCGCCACCGGCATCCTCTATATGAAAACAAGCATATTGCGTGAAGATGAAATTGACATTTTGAGAATGTGTGTTTATGTCAAGTTACGCTATCGCACATTCTGAATGACAACACAGGATTACGGACATGAAGAGGCTTAATGATACGGATATGAAGACGGCTAATGTTACAGACATGAAGACGGTTCATAAGGAGACCAGTGATCGTAAATTGGCTTCGAGGTAGCAAGAATTTTTGCGAACTAAGGTCCAGAGGATATTCAGTATTCATTTGCCACCTACTGCGCACAACGTCATGTTATGAGCCTAACGATTATGTTTGACAGGGCTTCAAGCGCGCCAACCCCAGTCAGCTCTTTGGCAACGGTCACGAAGGGACCGGAACGTCTCCGGTGGTGGTTCAAGGCGGATCGACGGCCAACGAAAGGGGTGACGACGTCAACGGTTGAATTGTAACGGGCTAAACACCCATATATTACACGTACTCGTTAAGTACTGCATACTTAACGGGGAGGAAGTACTTAGACCTGCCACATGGTGGGGCACATCAATGTGGCCCACCCTTGTGAATGTGATATCTATTGATGGATTCACATCGAAGGGGATGGCGCCCAGGTGGAGCTAGGCGTCGTGATGACGTCACAGACGGACGTCATCAGCGAGCTTAATTACATAAAGATATGTCTGAGCTTGCATGTAGTGGGGCACCCTCTTGAACGGGGTTAAACGGTTGTAACATCATACCGAAAGTACATCACGATCGAAGTTTCTATATTGCATATAATGTATTATTAATACAGATCCTATTAAAAAGGTAATTATAGATGAGTGATATTTTAAGGTATCAGTAATACCTTATACTATCGGTATCGGTTATATAATTGATACAGTACTGATGATCGGATGATTCCATATCCAAACAATAGACGATGGCATACTATGATTACTATGTTAGTAATTGATCTAGTGTAGGGTACTTAAAAATAAGATTATTCTCAAACTCTTAATGCATAAATAACATTAGTTCTCATTCTGAGTTTATGATCGTAAGTCTCTCTAAGACTTGTTCTCTTGTGCACTTCGTGCGTTGGTTTCCTGAACCTTTAAGCTTCTAGCCTGTTCTTGCACTCTGTGCGTATGTTCTCTGAACCTTAAGCTTATTGCTTGACTGACTAAAAGTCTCTTTCCTCGTTCCTTAGAACAGGGTGACTTTAAGTCGTTTATTTAGTTCCTTAGAACTAAGTGGCTTTTAGCCTTAACTCTATTTAGTTCTCTAGAACTTCCCAGCCTAAAGTCTTCCTCTGGCTAAAGAGCTGTGCAGCTCCGCTACACTTGGTAGCACTAGTAGTCAGTCCTACACCTGAGTCTTTAAGACTGACCCTCTGTGAGGATGGAGAATCAAAATTACCTTTATGAGGCGCATCGATTCGCACTAGATGAATTGTCTGCGTTCGTTGGGCCCGACCAAATCGAGGCTCTTTTGACCCAGAACCCGGAGGTCTTCAATGCTCGCCTTGAGGCCTTTATGCGTTATGAAGCAACGCTACTCGGTCAGGTTCACGACCCAGTAGCGTCAGCTGCGCCTACACAGTACATCCCGGTACCTGTGCCTGATGCAGAGCCAAAGGCTCGCTTACTCGTTTTAAACGTAAAGACCTTTGAGGAGAAGGAGGGAGAATATATTCTCCTCTGGATTCTAGAGGTTGAAATGGCAATTAATGCCGGCATGGTCGTGTCAGATAAGCAACGAATTGGCCTGTTCATTTCTAAGATCGGTGGAAGAGCTAGAGAGTGGGTATTACGAGCGATGTCTCTGTAAACGCCGCATTTTTCACGTAGGAAATGATTAAAAAGAAATTCATTTGCGTGTTTGAACCGCCTAATCAGGCTTATCGTGTGCGCTCACGCTTCTTGGATACCCGACAGGGTTAGAAAGAATTGTCGGACTATGTACAAGAGTTGAGGACTCTCATTGCTGCTATGCAGCAGTACCCTCTGGCAGAGGAAGTCCGGGTAACCATTTACATGGAAGGACTTCGCACTGAGGTCTCCAGGACAGAAGGTTTTTCGTGTCCAGCCTTCGACTTTCGAAGAGGCAGTGATCATAGCGTTTAAAGCTGAGTTCACTTTCAAATCTGCTCTCTACGGTTTCCATGGTATAATTCAAATGCCTCTAATAGGGCGTAACCCATGTACCTCAGCCTAACGACATCGTCTCTCGTGTAGAGCAGATTAAGGTTGATGACCTTGTTAGTGATATTGTCTATAATAGCGATTCACTATATTCGGGTATTTCATCGGCTATAGTATATCTAATTTAAGGTCGAATACCTTGTTGTCGTGTCGCCTGTTACAATGACCCACAGGATGTCGGTAATGACATCGGCTCTCGTATAGAGCAGGTAAGGTAGAAAATACCAACGATCTTGGGAATAATAATATCCCAAGTACTTTAAAAGGTACGGTCTCGTCAATGAGACGGCAGCGTCGCCAGATGTCGGCTGCAAGACGCAAGGCGTCTGTTTTATCACGTAGTAATGTCAGTGACCAGTTGTACGCCCTAGTCAACGGAGTGACAGGTGATGTAGATGGTGAGGTTGTCCTTAAGGTCCTCCCATCATTAAATGCTCATTTATAGCTAGACGGAATGTCTGGGGATGAATGTCATTCAATCTTAAAGGCTGGTAATTTATCCAATATGGTGGTACTTGGGATACCGTGGCTTTCGCGGTATCAGCCGACATTAGATTGACTATCTCGATCCGTCAAACGACGAAGCGGATATGACTTCAGTGAAGTGTTCACTCATTTGCTGGTCGTGTCATCCGATTGGCCTCACATCTAGGTCGTGAACGAAGTCGCCACGACTAGTAGTCAACAGAGAGAGAGCGATGGCTCTTTGTGCGCGGTATGTTCCGTTACCTGATGGAGCCATGAACGAGGCGGTCGAACAACGGTTACCGCATACACAGCCATCGGTCGAACAGGGGTTCCCGATTCACAGCGAGGCAGCCGAGCTGAGGTCCTCGCGTATAACACATCGTCTGAGTAGAGGCTCCCGATCAAATTTTGAGGTGGTCGAGCAGGGGATCCCGCAAACACACAAATCGATCAATCAGAGAGTTTCGAGTGCCTTCGAGGCGGTCAAAGACGATCTCCCGCCTCTAATTGACGAGAATGGGCGGACTATGGATCCGCATGAGACCGACGTGGTGGAGACAGAGCTCTCACGTCTAGAAGGGGTCATTCCTTGTGATAGCGACGTGCCAGTCTCGAGCAGGTGCTAGAGACGCAAGAGAAAACGCAAGAAAGGAGCACGCCGATCACCGACACGACGGAATGCACGTCAAAAAGCTGATGCAAATGATTTTTAGTGACGGATTCCGTATGTGCGCCTGAATATGTGGAGAGGTCTCCACATTGTGGACGCTACATTGAGGTAGCAAGCCCTCCGTGCACTGCTGCAGAGATCACATCTCTGTCAGACCTTTCACGGAAAGATGTCCTTCACGAACTCAAGGCCGGCGACATCCAGCAAGTGTGCGTCGTTTTAGCCGCCCAAACAGCCAGCGAAGAAGTTCTGAAGGCTCGCCCAAAGAGCGCCGAGTCTAAAGCAGCGCGAGAAGAACGCTTAGCAGCACAGTCTTGGAATTTTCTTCGTGCTTCGGGCAACCCTTTCTACGATATTGCCCGTGAGTACGCCGATATTTTTCCGGAGAAAATTTCTGCTGAACTTCCAGCGGATCGTGGAGTGCGACACAATATAGATCGCGTGCCAGGATTGAAGTATTGCTTGACGCGGCAGTGGTCGTTACCACGTGATCCAGTCATCGCTATTGATACTTGGGTCGCCGTAAGGCTGGCCATGTCCGCGAGAGTATCTCGCTACATGTGAGCTCGACTTTCTGTGTGAACAAAGCCACCGGTGGTTGGCGCATTGTGCACGATTTTAACAATCTGAATGACGCAACGATCCCGGCTCAAACGCCTACTCCTCGAAAAGACATGGTATTGAATACCATGTCCAGGAGCGAGATCTACAGCGCTATATATCATACAGACGGGGTCTATCAGATCCTCGATGAGAGACAGCAACATTCCATTCAATGCGGTCAGAAACCCAAGCGGAATGCTTTGGAAGTGGCTAGTCATGCCACAAGGTCTTAAAAGAACGCTCCAGATACTTTCAATTGTATGGTGACACAAGTACTTCGTTCACTTCGCAATTTTGCATCGAGCTACTTTGATAACATTTTTGTTCACAGCCGCGCTGAGCAAAAGCTCAGCACTACGGAGGTAAACCTTCGACACTTGAAGCTGGTGTTTCAAGTTATGCGCGAAAATAAATTGTATGCGAATTTGAAGAAAGGTGTCTTCTGCGCCCCCGAGATTCCAGATACTTCAACAAGGGAGGTGTCCGCGCTGATCCTGAGATGATCTCATCGATCTGTTCCTGACCAGCGCACAGGAACCAAACTGAATTACGTCAATGGCTCGGTCTGGCGAATTACTTGCATAGGTATACGAAGAATTTTGCTGAGCTAATTCAGCCATCATCGACATTGCTCAA